GCAGATGCAGCAGCAGAAGATGATTCCAGCTTCATTAAACCTACGCAGTTCAGCTTGATATCTCCGCAGCATCGGCCGCATGAACTAGAATTGGTATATAAGATGACCAGTAGCCSTAAAGGACTTGCCGTGATTGTCAACATCAACAACTTTCAAAACGCAAAATATGAGAAAAGGGAAGGCTCAGAAAAGGATAAAGAGGGGCTTGTAAAATTATTTAAAGAGCTGGACTTTGAAACCGAAACGTTCGTTGACCTCGCTAAAGAAAAACTCTTGGATGAATTCAAAGACATTACTACCAAGGATGGTTTCAAAGCCTACGACTGCTTAATTGTCTGCATCATGAGTCACGGGGATGAAGACTATTTCTTTGCCGGCGATAGAAAGGAGATCAAAATCCAAAGTATCCAACAAATGTTTAATAACAAAAACTGCGAGGCACTTTGCGGAAAACCCAAGCTTTTTTTTATTAACGCCTGTAGAGGAGAAACTGCTGATCCTGGAGCAGAAGTCAAGGAAAGTGGGTCCAAATCGTTAGTAAAATCTCAACCTCCGCCAGAGTCAGAAGCCGACATTGCTGTCGAGAATAGTGGTAGGGAAACTACGGCAGAAAATGCGGATATGCTCACTGCATTCGCCAGCGTTGAGGGGTACTCTTCTCATCGTCATGAAGAGGAAGGGAGCTGGTTCATTAGCAGCTTGATAAAGGTTTTTAAAGAAAATGCTGGTGTGGAGGATGTGATGAGCATGCTGACTCTAGTGAATAAAGAAGTGAATTCTAAAGGAAGACTGGGGAGAAAGCAAGTTCCAGAATCAAAAAACACTTTGACTAAAAAAGTATATTTTTGGCCAGGAATGACATTTAAATAATATTGAAATTTGAACAGTCAGGTTGTCGTGTTGCTCCATTCATTCTTCTTAGAACTATCAAACGTCCTGTAGTAACTGCTAACACTGTAATTTTTCCTTATTAGGCCTATTCGTATAGGAAATCGCACGATCTCGATTGTACGAGAAGATCGTGCGATTTTTTGTTTATTCACTCAACAAAATTTCAGTAAAAATTGCTAAGCGACGCCGTTCGTCTTTGTCTATTTGGCGGCCGATGTTCAGTCCATCGCCCAACTGAAATGCATAAAAAAGATTAGTTCTTACGGCTTTAAAATTTTATTTATATGTTTTTTAAGTACAAAA